TGTGTGCTAGCAAAGTAAATCCTTGATTTTTTTTTGAATGAATCCTTGATTAAATCCTTTAAATCCTCGATCTTTGTAGTGTCCACTAGTTAAATTTTGCTATTTTTGTTTTTCAGTTATCTTTTGACACTTCAAAAGAGCCTGGGCCACTCTAACTAGTAAATGTCCTTTCACTCCATGTGACAGGGAGGTTTCCAAAGGGGACTCTGCTAAATTCCAGGAGGTGGATTTATACAGTTAGCTTGGTGCATTACAGTATTTACCAGACTCTGAGCAGATTTATCCAGAGTAAAAGAAAGATCATCTAAAAGGCAAAAAATAAGCTTTGTGAAATAGTAAAAGAATATTTCTTAAACCATAAAAACTGACACTGGAGTTGAAGTTGATAGTGTTCTCTTTTAGTGTATTATACTAAAGATAAAATTAACATAATGTAACTAAACACCTCAATGGTTTGGAGTACAAACATAAGTGCTCATAATGATATTTTTTTCCTCTAATGTAAAATAGCTAATTTTAGTTATTTTTTTGACAGACTGAACCTATGGAATAGAAGATAAAATGGATGTTTCTTGCACAGAAGGTAATAAAAGAGTGTTGCAGTCCTGCTCATTTGTTGCTCTGAATTTAGTTTAATTGATTTTTTTTAAACTTATGTTAAAAAACTCTGTGTAAGATTCTGGGTAAGAAAAACATGAAGTACAGACCTTAGTTCAGAACGTGTGAAAATCACTGTGAGGTAAGTGCAGTCCTATATGGCTCATCATAATTTCAGTATTTGCTATGTTATTGGATTGACAACTCTAAAATAGAGCTTGAAATTGGAAGGAGTACATAAAACTATACTTTGATTATTAAAAAAACAGGGAAACTTTAAGGATGACTCTTCATCACCTGTGTCATTTTGTTTCTAAAGTAATTGCCTTTTTGTGATAGTGGAAACTGGTAAGCTCATTTGTTTTTATTGTGTCCCATAGCCAGTATTTTTAATAAACTGCATTTTAGTAATTGAATAAACAATGGCAAATTGTGCAGTAAATTCCAGACTAATTAAGGAATGAATGATGCAAGAATTACTGTATTAATCCAGGATTTTTACTTGTCAGCTATGTTATCAGATATTCTGGCTTGACAACAAAAGATGACAAAATGCTTCCAGTTTAAATATAGCCAAAAGCAACATGCCCCACCAATACACCCAAAATAGATCCTTACATGGCCATAAATATAGTGCCCTAAATATAGCCAAAAGCATTGCACCACTTAGAAATAATGGATGTAAAAGGTTTCCAAAGATTAATTGCAGGCTTTCAATCTGAAATGGATAGAGAAACCATAATCTTCTCATGTAGTCAATGTTAAAATGACTAAAACAGCAGCTTCATTTTGCCACTTAGCTCTGAAAAATATATTTAAAACTGCAATATTTCTGTCTAAAGCTGCTGCCCAGTTTCTGGGAAACCAAATTGTGAACTTGCCAGCAGTAACTTCCCCTGGTACAATGCTGACTTCCAGCACGTCAGTGCAGCCCACTGTCACAAATTCTTGGAATGTAAGTGGAAAACCAATATATTTTTTGCATCTAAATGTTCTCCAAGAAGTCACCCTAATGATAAACGATGGACAAAGCAGCCACATTCCTTACAGGAACATTTTAGTGGCTGTGTTTTGTCTCAACAGTGACTTTCCACCTACTGAAAGAGCAGTTAATTAATTCTGCATTATATGTAATTCTAAAACGTTGTCGAGGGTAAGAGCTGAATATTACACAGAAAGCTCAAACATAACTTTATTTTTCCTTTTCTTTAGAAAATCGACTGCTGCCTTTTCCGTGGGAATGATCCATCCAGCCTGTCCCCCCAGGTGGGCTGCTCATGGCCCTGCTTCCTTCAGAATTTTCTCTCCCGTTTCTTTCATACTGTTTCTGTTCAAAACTTTGCTGTTGTGAGCGCATGTAAAGCTGTTAAAGAAAATAAAAAACACTGATGTTGATGTAGAACTGTATTACATTCGCACAACTATTTTTTTAAGGTTTTAAAAAAAATGCAAAGCAATGCCTGTCTCTGAAATTGCTCTTCTGTCTTAATTACAAAGCTCCATCTTCAAAGATTTTGTTTGTTTGTTTCTTGTAGCAGTTTGGTTTTAAATGTATGAAGCTTTCAAGAGTGGTCTGTGCTTGTCCTAAAAGATTTCTGGTGGAACAGTTGTCTGTTTTATTCATATGTGGAAATTGTTAAATATCTTTTATTTAAAAAAAAAAAGTTGATAAATTACATGTATAATTACAATTCAATGATCTTTTGTATTTTATTTTTCAAAATAAATGCTTTAAATGTGATTTTCATTTATTTATTAATATTTTTACTTCGGAGTTAAGATTTTAATAATTCAAGGTGTTGATGCATTAGTGGAGGGGAGATATGATCTCATGTCCTAGGTTTGGGTCTCTCTTTAAGGTTTGCAATTCAATGCTTTTTGTTTGCTTTTAATAGCTGGGTGACGAGGAGAAAGTAAATTAGAGTGTCCCACTGGGAGTTATAAAGAAAGTAACGTGAGATTTCTTTACTGCAGGAGAACGAAGGTAATTTTTAGCCTCTCAAATTTGTTCCTCCAAAGCCATTGTGTTCAGAGTTGTGCTGCTGGGGTGAAACTGCTGCTGAACCCCTGCTGTTATCAAAACTCTAGGATACAACGTGGAAGGTGATTATTCCAGTAAGGTATTTTTTAGGTGGTTTTTGCCTCATTTTGTCCCATTTTCTGTTCACCTCAGTGGCTCACGATGCTGAAGGTGGGCTCAGCCTTCCCCACTGCTTTTAAGAGAAGTTCTTTCAAAAATACTTGTGTTTCCACAACTTCTGCCTCTTCGGCTCTGAAACAGTGTTTGGTTTTTTTTTTATTTCCCTCCGTTCCTTTTGTTGCTCCAGTTGAGATGATTAACGCGTGTCTCTAAAACCACCGTGACCACCAGTGAAGGATATCAAAGCGCCTTCAGGGAAGAAGTGAACTCGACACTTCCCCGCTCCTTCACCCTCGGCTCGTTCTCAAAAGTGATCCCGGGGCCTCCCCTAGTGCCCGCCGGGGGCAGGCGCGTGGCGCGGAGCGCCATCGAGCTGCGTGCTTCGGCAATTATCACGGTAATTAATTACCGCGGGGGTTTTTCTGATGGCAGGAGCGGGCGCGCGCCCGGGCGGGGGCCGTGGGCAGTGGGGGGGTGTGGGCGCTCCCGCGCCGTTTTGGGGACGGGCCGGCCGCCAGCGCGGGGACCCGGATGGGCCCTACGTGATGGGCCTGCGTTGACGCGGGTCCGGGCAGGTGAGGGCGGGGGGGCGGCCCCGCTGCCCCTCCGTCCGTCCACCGGCCGATGCGGCGGGCGTGCCCCCGGAGCCGGGGCTCTTGCTACCACCGGCGCAGCGCGGGAGGGGCGCTCAGGGTGAGGGGGCTGGGGAGGGGCGCGGGGCGGGAGGGGGACGGAGCGGGGGGCCGTGCCCCGGTCGGGCGCTCCGGTTCAGGCTGTGCAGGGATGGCCCGCAGTCGCTAGGTGAGAGTTAATAGTTATTTATTTATTAATTAATTATTGATTTACCTGCCGGACGCCTGGTGTACCCACCTGAGCCCGCCTGGGGGCTGTGCTGCCCGGTCGTGGGTGATGCCTCTGCTCCCCTCGGCTGTCAGACTGCAGAGCGGCTCCGGGCTCGAAAAGCTGTGGAATTCCGTGTGAGGTGGCAGTGCCAGCCACCAGCGAGTACAGCCCCAGTGTCCTTTACCCACTGGTTGCTCGCAGCTCCCAGTCAGGTCTCCCTGCTGTCCTGCTGCTGCCCTGGAAGTCACTGGTGATGGAGGATCCCATTATACACACCCATACACCGTGTCTGTGCTCCCTGCTGCAAAGGTTAAGTTACACTATCCCTTCATCATACTCTGTGTTGGCTTTTGCTCATGCCTAGAGGTGCTGAGAATGTCCAGCATTTTACAGTCCAATGTATAATACCATTTACAGCAGCTCAGGTATCCTGCCCCCTTTTTCAGGGTGCTCCTTCACTGTTCTGATGCAGATTTATGAGAATTTACTGGATGTCATGTCTCGTCCCAGCGTGTTCACACAAACCTTTGATCATCTGAGTCTTTTGAAGATAGGTATGGAGAGACTGCTAAGTGACATCTCCTGTGACCTCACAGGGACCCAGTTTCTCTTGAAAAAGGGGGAGCCTTCCTAAAATCCAGTTGGTATCTCCTCAAAACAAGCACATCCCGAGGAGTTAGCTTTGAACTGAAGTCTGTGTGGGTCTCCTAGGATGGATTCATACATCAGTACCTTACTGAAAAAGACTGAAAATGACCATTTAATCATTATGTCACTTTTTTTGTAGATATGTAGCTTTTTTAGGTGTGTCACTTTGCCGACACTCATGTAATCTCAAAGTATTTAAGAAAAGGTTGTTTAAACCAATACAGAAAAGCTGAGGGAACAGCAGAGCCTTGAAAAGTTTTGTTGACTCTTACTATCCAGTCCAACTTAATGCTGCTGTAGGGTTGCTATCATTCCCTGGGGAATGAAGCCAAACTGGCAGGGCCAGTTCATTTACTGAGATGTCTTTGGGGGGTGGGTGTGTGTGTGACAGTATCTGAGCTGTCCATAACAAAGCTCCAGGAAGCAATCTCTGCATTTAAATGCCAGGTAGAAGGACTGGCAGGAGGTATTTTTGGTAGAGTTGGATGCTGCTGACATTGGCTCAGTTAAATATTTGATTTAATAATTTTGTTCATTGATGATGCCTTCTCATTAACTGTCTGTTGATCTGCACTCAGATATATTTGAAAGTGAAATGGATGCATTTACTTAGTTTAATTAAATAAAACAAACCCTGTAACTTTAATGAGAGATTTAACAAAAGGAATATTTTTGTGCATAGTTAAAAATAGTTATTGCACGTTCTTTAAGTGGCAAAAAGAGGATAAGACCAGGTTGGATGGGGCTTGGAGCAACCTGGTGTAGTGGAAGGTGTCCCTGCCCAGGGCAGGGGGTTGGAACAAGATGAGCTTTAAGGTCCCTTCCAACCCAAACCATTCTTGATTTTATGATACAGATGGATGCATATTCTTCATGAAATGCAGAGAACTGAGTGTCTGTCAGAGAACTGGGCAGTGATCAGCTTCTGTTTTTCTTTCAGGGAGACTCTGCTCCTGTCACCACTCCAGTGTTCCACTGCTCCGTGCCCGGGGGTGAACTGGTGAAGCAAACCTAGAGAGGGACTTCAGTCACCTTTTAATGAAGGTCAAAAAACAGGTTAAACTTGTCAGTGATTCATCTCTTCATTTTACTGCCACTAAACTTAATCTTGAAATCCTGGGCTGAGAACTTGTCTGCCAAACCTCGCTGTTGAGGGCATTGTTTGTGTGAATGTTCCAATGGCAAAGGAGGCTGTTACTCCTGGGTGTAAGAGAATTAAGGTATGCTCTCTCATGTTTTTTTTTTTCTTAAACCTTGGTGTCATGTTGAAGGAGGATGATGAAAGAGGAAGAATTCCTTTTTCTCAGACCTCTAGTTCTGGTAGGAAAGGGGCCCTTTTTGGTACAGTGCCAAATGGAGGAACTTACCCCAAACACATTCTGGGGTCAATGATTCCCATGTACTTAATGGAGCTGAATGTTGTTTACTCACAGGATGATCCATTTAAGTGAAATATATGGGACATTCTTGAAAAATGTAGACAATTACAGAACACATTTTTGGTCAATCTTGAGTCTTAAGAGAACTGGAAATAGCAGCCAAAGCACTGGTGTCAAGTGACAGCATTATAAATAATACATTCACAGTAAATACAGGCTCACTCAGTTTTGACTGTGCATCTTATAAATGAAGCTTCTGCAAGCTGTTTCTGGGTGATAATTTGTTTACTTCTTTAAAGGAGCCCTACCAAAATAATATTTCATTTATGTTGTGTCTGTTCTTTATCTGTGAGGCGTAGTTGAGTTGTTTTGATAATTGATAATGTCGGAACAAATGTTGTTTCAGGACAAATATTAAAATTGCTAATAGTGTGGACATTGAGAAGCCCTTCCATCCTTATTTGTCTGCCTATGCATTGGACTGTGGTGGAAAAATGGTTATAAACTGTAGAGAAGAGAAGTTAAATACCTGTCCTAAGCTGAGCCAAACCTCTTAACGAGCTGCAGCTTAAACAGAATGTTTGACACTTCAGGGTACCTATTTATCTGTGTTTATTGTGGTGTTAAACAGGGTGTAGAATTCACATCCAAATTTTGGTAAAAGCAGGCTGTGGACCCTCCCTCAGAACGTGGAGACTGTGATCTGATCAGCTCTCTGCAGAGTATCTGTTTTGCCCAGGAGCATCCAGGGTCTGTCTGGGTTCTTTCTGAACTTGCAGCATTTCCTTTAAGAGCTGAGATCTACAGATGGGCTGATGATGTGCACAGTGCACTGTATTAGCAGAATTATACAATTAATCATGTCTTTCAAAATTTTGTGTCATTTCTTCTTGCTGATTTTGATGGGAAGCACCCTTTATGAAACATTTGTTTAGTCAATAAATAAACGCACCAGATGTGCTCGTGTAAATAATCCTTCTCTTTTTATATTTCGTAGTGATTTCAGAGAAGGAGCTTGCAGGGTTAGAGCTAAAGCCTCTGGTAGTGCCTTTGTTATGGCGTTGTGATGCTGCTGGAGGCACCACAGCATTCCTGGAAACAGGGATTTTACATAATGCAGCGTAGAGGGAGCAGCAGGGTTTCCTCCTCTTTGCTGCTCTGCTCTTTCAGTTATTATTTTTATAGTGCAGCTGGTTAGTCCATCCCGTCCTGAGGCTGAAGGTGGACTGTGAAAGCCGGAAAGGAAATGGATAATTAGCAGTAAATGCGCAGAATAATGAGCAGAATTAAATACATGTGTGTCAGATGGGCGCGTTCGTGTGCGATGAGATGTGATGCGGTGGGCACGGAGACATCGGGTTTCTCCGGCTGGTTAGAAACCTCAACTGGAAAATTTGCCAGGGAATGCTGAGCGGAGCCTGCCCGTGCCCGTCCCCGCTCCCGGCGAGCGGCTGAAGGTGACAGACGGAGCGCGGGTGTCGCCCGGCGCGGGGCCAATGGCAGGACGTGTTCCTGCATCCCGCCCATGGCGAGGGACAGGCTGGGCCAGCGGCCACCCAAATCCACCCAGCAAATGACATTTCCCTGCAAAAGCGCGGCGGAGCCAATCGCTCCCTGCACTGTGCAGCCAATGGATGCCGGGCTCTTACCCAGCCACTGACAGCGGCTCCGGGGCTGGAGGGCCTTGGGACGGCTCTGCCAGGCGCGTTCCTGCACAGCCCGAGCCCCCGGTGCGGGTCCCATCCGTGCCGTGATTCATCTCCCGGCCGCAGCGATGCCATTGTGAGCCCTCGGGGTGACGCGGCCAGCGACGCGTCCCGCCCGCCCCGACCCGCGGCTGGCGGGGGCAGCCCGAGGTGATCCGGGGGTTGTGTTCCCGTTTAGCAGTGCCACGGCTGCCTACCCAGCAGACCTGCTCCCCAGAGCCAGAGGGATGGTGGTAGTTACGGGGCAGAACAAAGTGAGCGGAAACCCGGATGATGCCATGTCGAGCTCGGATGCAGAGGATGATTTCCAAGAGCCGGCCACTCCTACTGCAACCCAGGCAGGACAAGCTCTACCTCTGCTGCCCCAGGAGGTAAGAGCTCCCCGGTGCTGCTCACCTGACAAGGTCCAGTGATGGCAGCACGCACTGCTCAGCTGCCAAAGAATCCGGGATTTATTTGCTGGACTATTTGTGGATGCCCAGTTCAGTTTCCATTAGTAGCTAAATGTTTTAATAAAACTAAGTCTCTTGAATTTATTTCAGTTGCTTGACGGCTTTAGCTGTAAGTTCCATCCATGTTTGGAGTTGAGAAATACAATGAAGTGTTTATTCTGGTACTTCAGGCGTCTTAGAGTGTAATACTAAGATTTTAGGCCTGATGTAAATACAAAATCACTGGGGATTTTTAGTGTATGGTTTAGAAGTGTAAAGAAACCAGCAGAGTAGCAACTGAGTGCAAGTCCCAGGGCTGGCCTGAGATTTCTTCCCTTTTTTTTTTCCTCTGCATGTGTGTCTGTCTCTGTGTAAGGGTGGGGAGCCAAGAGGAGGCGTTAATACTTTAAATTAATATCTGGCATTAAAGCTGAGTGGAATCTGCTGTTTCAGATTCCAGCTACAATTAAACCACTCATTTATTCCACCCAGAAGCCAAAGTATCCAAGCTGTTAACCCTCAAACCTCTCTGGTTTGTGGCAACAGGGCAGGGGAGTTTGTCACGGCGGCAAAGACCGCACGCTGTGTTTTGGAAGCTGCAACCCTGCAAAAGGCTGGAGGCTCCTCTCTGATGATGTGATTGCTTTTGCAGTTTCCAGAAGTTGTCCCCCTGAATGTGGGAGGGATGTACTTCACCACGAGACTGTCCACCCTGAGGCGTTACGAGGACACCATGCTGGCAGCCATGTTCAGCGGGAGGCACTACATCCCCACGGATGCTGAAGGCAGGTACTTCATCGACAGAGATGGAACCTACTTTGGGTATGTGCAGTGTCCCCAGTGCCCCCAGAGTTCTTCCTGAAGAAAGTCAGTTTTCAAGAAAAATAAGTTTTATAACGTTTATTTTCCTTCTGGTGAAATCCCGTTTGTGTGGGAGGTAAATGTGGCTGGCTGGCATCCACACCCTCAAAACATACCAATAGTATATGGCAATTAAACAGCTATTCATTTGACTCTCAAGTTATGCAGTGGGAAAGGAAAAGCAACCAATGTTTTGTATTTGTACACTGTCTCCTCTAGAGTGTCTCCTTTCAAGGTATTAAGTTGTTTTGGTGTCTTAAAAAAGAATGTGTTTGGTGTTGCTTTACATAGGAAGCTCCTTTGAACAGCACTGGTTTTTAATTGATATTACAGTATCTAGGATAAAGAAGGAATGGAAGGAATGCATCTAGCTTTCTTACACAGTTGAAAGTATGTTATTTTCAGTCTTTAAACAGGATATAACAGAACTGGTAAAAAAGCCCAAGCCTCAAAGAATTTCTTTTTTAAAATTATTTTTGCTGGTAGTGCCACATCCCTTCACCTTCAAGATTCCTTCTTAAGGAAGGTCAGTAATAGTTTTGTTAGTTAATACTTACAAAGTGATTTCTTTCCCTTGTAAAAAATCTTGTCACATAACGTTGTCAGAGCTGCAAGGAAATGTTCTCTCTCTTCTTTATAAAATTCTTATTCTGTATATGGCCCTGAGCCTGTGTAGAGAAACCTCCTTTGCAGATGAACCATCCATTCAGATACAGTCCTGGATCTGTGTGAGATAAAATGTCCATGTATATAATTCTCTAGGAAAATATTACTTTGTCACAGACCTAAATTTGGAATACAGTGACTACAATCTCTTTCCCGTGGAATAATGTATCCTCTTCTATTTGAAGTGGTTCCTCCTCATTGAACTTTTTGTTTAAAATAGGATTATGTTTTTTTGAATGAGTTTTGACATTAACAGAGGCAAAATATGGAATGGTGACTTGGAAACTTGAACGTGGCAAATGATTTTAAAACCAGATGTTGGGAATATGGATCACTTGTTTCAGTTACTGTCTAAACATAAGGATTTCTGTCTCAAGAGAGTAAACAATAAACATCCAGCATTTCCTCTCTTTTACCACCTGCAACAGTTTTGGCAGAAATGTGTTCCTTAATAATATTTTTGCCCTTTTTTTTAGAGACATACTTAACTTTCTGCGCTCTGGTGACCTGCCACCAAGAGAACGAGTGAGGTCAGTTTACAAGGAAGCTCAGTATTATTCCATAGGACCATTGCTAGACAATCTAGAGGATATCCAGCCTCTGAAAGGAGAAAAAGTTAGACAAGCTTTCCTGGGCCTAATGCCATATTACAAAGGTAAATAAATGAAGGAGTGTTGACTGTTTCTTCTAGTGTGATTCGAGTGTTGTGCTTTCAGTCTGCTTTCAGCTTCCAGGCTAATTGCACTGCAGTTGAGAAGTTCATTATGTGCTTTTCATGCTGTTTAGATCTGTGAGGTCTCCACGTCAGATTTGTTACAAGGATGTGGATTTTTATTTAAGAAGGAGCAATATCTAGGCCATAACATGCAAGGCTTATTAAATGAGAGGGTTTCTCTGCTTTTGTTGTGTCAGGACCTGCAGCTGAATAAACTTGGGCCTTATTGTAAGGACACCAAGTTCACCAGATAACTGAGATTGATTTGATTGCAGTCTATTTTGCTACATGCAGTTTCCTGTTAGGCTGAGAATAACTCATCAAACACTGCAGTAATATGTTTCACGTGAAATAGTTGCATTTGATCTCTTTAACTTGATACTTCGTTACAATTCTCTATTTTTGGGTGTTCTGGGGGTTTTTCTTTTTAGATCACTTGGAACGGATAATCGAAATAGCAAAGCTCCGAGCTATGCAGAGAAAAGCCAGATTTGCAAAACTGAAGGTCTGTGTCTTCAAAGAGGAGATGCCCATCACTCCCTACGAGTGCCCCCACTTCAATTCCCTGCGTTTTGAGAGGAGTGAGAGCGAGACCAAGCTGTTTGAGCACCACTGTGAGGTGGATGTGTCCTTCGGGCCCTGGGAGGCCGTGGCCGATGTCTACGACCTGCTGCACTGCATCGTGACAGACCTGTCTGACAGGGGCATCACTGTGGACCACCAGTGCATCGGGGTGTGTGACAAACACCTCATCAACCACTACTACTGCAAGAGGCCCATCTATGAGTTCAAGATCACTTGGTGGTGAGTTGTTTTGTCCGGGACGGCGCGAGGGATGAAAGGACTTCTGGGTGACAGTCGATTGCTTCGGGTATTTTTGCACCGTGTCTCTGGAAATGCATTGCTGCTAACATTCCTTGGAGTCAGTGAGCTGCTCAGCAAAGGGAACCTGGTGCAGGGGTTAAAGAACCTCTGGAATCTTGCAAAACCAGCCTGACATCAGACTGTTGGCTCAGGTACCTTAACGAGGCACAACACAAAAATCACCTCATGGGAATGGTGGAGAGGAGTGTCTGACATCTTCTAAAAGGTGCCCCCAGCCACGTGGCTTTAGTATCCCAGTCTGCAGAATGGAATTACAGATCTCTCCTGCTTTATTGGGAAGCTGGGGTGCTAATAATGCTGACATGGGGTTCAGCTTTACCCACTTAGAGATGTTTTAGTTCCTACTTAAACTTACCACTTTATAAAATTGAGTAATACCCAGCACAAAGATTCTGGAAATGTAATTTTGATGTTATAGATAATTTAAAAAAGGGGGGAAAAAAGAGTGTTCCCTATATATTATTAATTGTTGTCAGGATTAAGGTGTATTTCTTTTTTAATTAAGAATCTACATTGTGAATTATAATGTTATATTTCAATTATTATTATTGTTATAACAAGGAATAGCAGATTTGGAATATATTCCTTAATGCTTTTAGGAATAATAACTGTCCATGGAAGACTTGTGCCTGTTTTTAGCCTTAGAAATTCTAAATGTTTACAATATCTACAAAAAAAAAAAAAGAAGCTCTATAGAATCAGGTCATTTACAAAGGCTTTTGGTAAATGAGAAAACCCTATATGTATGTTCCTATTAGCAGAAGTAAGAGGAATATTTAATGTATATTATTTTATTACTGACTCTTTTTACATTCTGTGATATTAAACTTTGTTCTAGAGTTAAAATCAGATGATACAGTACAAGTGCTTCCTTCACCTCACCTTCTTCAGACAATTCTTATTTTCATCATTCTTGTTGACCCTTCCTGGTGTCATACAAGGAAAAACAAAATTCAGCCTTCCTATTCAAATATTTCTCCAATTATAAATCAGTAGATCTGGGTAATAAATCCCTTTCCATGCCAAAAGAGGCAGCCATTGCAGAATCACATTCTTTTCAGAAGGCAGTTGTTGCACTTCTGACATGAGTAACCACATCCCAAAGTTGAATTACTTGATGTCCAAAACCAAAAGGGAAATTTAAATGTCTGCAGATATTAATGTTTTGTGAGGTACAGGAAACTCAGCTGTTTTTCTAAAATACTCCACTTGAAGGGACTTCCAAAGAATCTTAAGGAGAAAGAAAAAGTAAATATTTGCATATTGCATTCCACTGGATTAGATGATCCAACAATATTGCTTAATTAAGCTTTTGACCAAAACGCTTAAGAAACACATTAATTACAGGGATCAGAATTCTTAGTTACCTGAGGTAATTTTTAGTATAATTCTAAAAACTTTATGGTCAAATTGTCTTGCAAAAAAAGAGCCAAATTGTTTGCACTGTCACACTTTCAGGCACTTAATTTAGCAATTTTTAGTAAATTGTCTCTCTTTAGTGGGGGTTCTAATGATCTCTTTGCAAATGTTTACTTACAGAGGCTCGTTTTCAAGTGCTGAGTTTCTAGTCCAGAACTTGAAATGGCATTTGGATCTTAAGTTTGTTTTAATTGTTTTCTTAAATATTGGCCTTTGTGTTACAAGTTCTTGTACTTGTGTTTGGCCACCCAAAATTAAGAGTTAAACTGAGACTAGTAAAGCTTCCCTACAATGAGAGGAACTTGGTTTCTTTGCTGCTTTGCTGGCTTCATTTATTTTCCTTTTATTTTTTTTTTCCCAGGGAATCTTAAACTGCAACCCACAATTTCTTCCAAAATTACGTAAGATCTTAAAGCTGAGGCTTACAAACTTTTGGCTGCTTGTCCACTTCAGACATTTAAATTCAGGATTTTCAGCATAGTTTATTTAGGGATTACAATGAGAATTGCAGTGTTTTTTTGCCATTTCCCACATATATATTTACACAGGACAGAACTCTGGTTTGAATTTCAGCACCACTTGCAGAAACAGGACCCAGTCTGATTTTTAACAGTGTGTTTTTTGGTTTGGATTTAAGAATTTTCTCACTGTTTTTATAAAGAAGCTGTGACGACAAAACCCCTGTTTTGACCACGTTTGCTATTTCTTAATATGCACATGCTGATATTTTATTACTTTTCCCTGTTCATTGCTTTAAAAAAGTAAGGAAAACCACCGACCCAAAAAGATAAAATGAAAATCTTGGTCTGTATCAGCTGCACCTTAATCAAAGCTCTCATCCTTCCAGTCCTCCTGGAGGCAGCAGACATTCAGTGCAATAATGGGAAGGAAAACATGGATTTAAGCCCACGTGCTTTCATTAAACACATCCGTTCTGTGCTGGGATTTGGGCAGGTTAACCCTATTTTTATTGACTGCCCCTGTTCTAAGCAGTCTTTGTTTACAACCATTTAGATGATCTTGCCTAATCTGTGCTCATTTTTTGACAGAAGCAGAGGAGTTGTGCAGGAGGATGGCAGGGGAGTAGAATCTAATCACTGCTTTATGTAACATTATTGACTTTTCTTGGCGTGTAGCATAACTTTGGAAATTCTCCATTTGCAACAGAAATGTGAGTAGCTGATCTACTAAATCTGTGTTTAACAGGATTGATGTTTTTGTACATTGTGGATGCTTCTGATTAAACTCAATGCCTATGGAATACTGCTTTTTTTTTTTTTTCCTCTAGGACTTTTCTTTATATCCAGCCAGGCCAGAGGTTTGCTAGAACATATTTACCTATTTCTCCGTGCTTCTCTTGGCTTTTTTGCCACTTTAGCATCTACAAAGCTACTTTTCCACCCCCACACCCTCAAATCCCTGTGTTTGTGAGCTGGCACTGGAAACAAATTGGGCACAGTAAATAGTCTGGTGTCATCAATATAACCTTGCTGTGAATATCATGTTTGCAGATCATTAAAAGGACAGTGCATGTCCATTTAGCTGATTCAGTTTGAAGGACATATATTTTTTATTTCATATTCTGAGGCTGGATACAGGCCCCTTTTCCATTTTTAGTTCCAAATTGATACACAGGAACACACATATTACAATTGACTTTTTTTCCTCCCCCAAATAAGTCTGAAATATTTTCAGAGCCCAGATCACATATCTGGATTGCAGTGATTATTCTGCTTTTATCAATACTGGTGGGACAATTGGGGGATACTTATTTAAAATTAGAATTGTTAGCTATTGTTTTATGTTGCTGTGTGTATGAAAAAAACTTGACAAGACTAATTCTTTTTAACATTCCCTCTGGAACGTTTAACATTCCCTCTGGAATCCACTCTGCAGTGGTTTTTAACAGGGAGCAAAGGGAGGTCTAATTATCAGGTCTCATCTTAAATGACTTGGCCAATTCCACAGCACATTCAGTATTTCTGCATCTGTTTTACACTTGTAAAATAAGAAGGGTGAGAAAAGGAAAATTTAAAAATGAAGGAAAAAACCTCATCTTTCTGAATCACTCAAAATGACCTGAAAATATATTTATGTGCAGCAGCCACTTTATTGATTTCAAGAGCTTAAAAAAAAATATAAAAATAACTTTTGAGCTTGGTGTGGGCTTCTTAACTTGAATACCCAATACCCTACATAGGAATCTGAAATACTCCTTGGTGAACTTCCGTCCTCCTTGGTGCTGCCAGCTTTGATCTGGGAAGCCTTTGAGCCATAAACAGATTCTCTGTGGTCCTCGTGGTGCATGTTTTCTTCTGAGACTGCTGGGCTTTTATTTTTATTTTAACCAAAACTTATAATGAGGGATCAGCTTCTGCATTGGTGAGGGTGTGAGTTCTCTGGTTTGTTTTGGAGCACTTCAGGTCTGAGTTACCTGAGTAACAAAAGCAGTGAGTTATCGCAGCAGGAAGTTCTGCATGACCCCCTTTTGATGGATTTTTTAAAGTTTTTAGGAAGTCTGCCTGGGAGACACCTCCTGATGTAATATATGCAAATACCTGAACTTGTTAATGTGAATATTTTTGAGATTTTGTGGTTCAGTTTTGTAATATTCTCCCCTGAAACTAGCAAGAGTGCTAAGGGTTGAGTTAAACACTGGTTTTCTGATAAGCCAGTCTATGCCTTAGATATCTCCTGCCCTCATTTTGTAAAATCACTCATCCCAAAGGCGTTTGATGTAGGAAAAAGTCAAGGCTGTTATCATTACAGGAAAACCAGGAATCTTCCTTGATTCTCAACAATGAGTCATTAAGAGAATCAGGGCTTGTTAATCCACTCACACCCTCCATTCTTCGCTCTGGTGGTCTCAGGGCTGGGTCTGGATCACAAGAGTCCTTGAAGGCAAAACTCAAACACTTCTGTTATGAGAACTGAGCTGATTTGCATAAGCACCTAATTTGGCCTTTGCTGAGTGATTGTTAAAATTCCTGCAAAGCGAAGGATGTCGATATTTTAAACTGTTCCAAGCAATAGCTTTGTTAAACCCTAATCTCCTCTGAGCCAGTGGATGTATTGTCAGGGGTTGGCCAGGTCTTTTATCTGTGCTTCTCGGTGTATCTGTGTTTTCCCAGGGGAGTCTGAAGCCCAGGGAGGTTGCTGATCACACCCAGGGAATACATTTTCAGGTGTGTCCTGAGCTCGAGCTGGATTTTGGAGATACGAAAGTGGGAGGGAATTCGTTCTGCAGTGTGTTCCCCAGGGATGATCCTCACTACCTCTGAAGGAACACTTTGGTGAGGTGCTGATCCACACTCCCCCACAGCTCCCTTTGTGAGCTGAAGTGTAAAAGGCATGAGGGGATGAGGTGTCTGGGCTGAACACTCACAGTGAGATGACTCTGACTGGATCCCCCCTGGGCCTCACCCCCTCCTCTGCCCCTGCAGATGTACAACTCTGTGTGCAGGAAATTTAGTACTTCTCTCTGCTGCACCCTCAGATTTGTTTGCAAGGTGAATGCTTAGTCTGGTTTAAAATAAAGGGGTTGTTTTAATATTGCAATATGGTGACTGATAGTTGCTAAAGAATCAGTGAAAACCTTATTACTGTCAAAAATACCTGAGTAAATCCATTTAACTAACTTATAGCATAATCACTTTAATTTCACTCTTCTTATTTTTTTTAGTAAAGACTTACTTCTTTTAAGGGCTTACATTTGTTTATCCTTCAGCTTGCTATGAGCTGAAGGATAAACTGCACAATCCCTCATCTGTTTGGGGTTTTTCCCTTAAAATCTAATTACTCATATAATTAAAGGTCATGATTTTCTAGCTTCATTTGGCATTTGCAAGCCCTGGGAACCCTCCTTCCCAGCTTTATTCTCACTGCTCATTCTTCTTTATAGATGACGTGGGACAGGTGACATGATGAGGAAGATGATGGAAGTGCCAGCAGGGAAAAGCTCCTGTCAGAGCTGGTGCTTTCCATTGCAGGGTGTTCTTTGGGCTTGATTTCAGCTCTTGTTCTGTGTGAGGCACAGGAACCTTCAGCACCATTTGTGTGAGCTCAGTCTGTCAGGAATTCAGGGCAGCTTCCACTGGTCATTCATTTCTGTGTGAGTTCACTGTGGTGTTGATTCTGGGAGCTGAGGGTGGGAAAATCCAGTGGGTTGCAGGGTCACACTGCCTGAACTTTATGCCACAGCTGGATCTTTCTGCATGGCAAAGCAGAGTAATCATTTGGGACAGAACTGCAGGACAGGTAAGAGAAAACTTCAGAGCAGGGACTGTATTAAAATCATCTCTGAACTCACTATAAAACTCTGGGATATATTTCTTTCACTTCCATCATTAAATAACTACTTAGCTCTGGGCAATTTATAGACCCCACTGGCTTTAAGTTGTGGTTCCTGGAGTTGTGCTGATCTCTTTGGTCATTTGTAGGTAAACAATTGAAAATGTTTTCAGGTCGTTCACACACAGCAGAGAAGACCAAGGATGGTTCTGAGTTTTGGGCTATGGAAACAGAATTTCACTTCACAGAATCCCCCCACTCCAGTCTTTCGTTATCTTTCTGCACATAAGCTGATTTCAGAGGGTAATTATGCTCTGTTTATTATCTCCTGTATATAGTTCTCTAACTGGAAATCACTTTCCAGAACAGCAGTTCTTAGTCATTTTACTTACACAAGCTTAGTATTAAGTTTACCTCCACTTTCACTGTGACTTTTATAAATGGATTTTGTTTTGCTGAATTATGAATTGTAGGTGTCTATGCATTGTAACCCGTAATGCCTTTGAAAATCCAGCCTGGATGCTAACGATCAGGGTTTGGAATTCTCTCCAAATGTGTTTTGTTAATAATTCTGTTGACGTGTGATGTTCAATACTGTGAGTACTGCAGTGTATTATTTCTTAATATTTTTGACTTTTCAGTTCGGGTAATATATAGTCTATGTTTTTTATTTAAAACACATAGAAGAAAATGTGGATATAAATTTGTGTTGTGCAATAAAAGATTATTATACTGAAAACTGTTGGAATCTGGCTCCTCTGGTCTGCAGCCACTGCGGTGCCCCTCACCTTCCCTGGCATTCGAGTTTGCTTTGCATGACTGCAAA